TTCCTTGAAGGTAGAAATATAGCCAGTGTCCGCAAACATGTTCACACACAACAAACACCATGAATACACTTTACTGGTAACTTCATAAATAAAATGAGTGACTTTATTTCAACACATATCCAAATTACAGATTGCCTCTCAAATGTCATCTGTATCATGAAGCCATGAATTCTCATATATTCTGGCACACAAACCACTGTGATTCCAGTGTGTGCACGCTTCAAGAGACATCAACTGCACAACACTGCAAGCAGGTGAAATATCAAGCACAGACAACAGAAAGTCTATTTGTACATAACTACAAAATGTAAACATATTTATGAGAAAAACTTTCATTAAATATCTGGAATAAAAATGTATAAAGAGTGTTGACTAAAGCCAAAAGATAACTGTGAAAGCACACTGATCTACAACTAGTAGCACTAAATTGTGCAAACACCTCAGGAGTGGTTGAACTGCACTTGGAACAGGTGGTTAATGGCAGGTAGTTACTGCAAGACAATCACTGACAACAGCTGGACGGACAAATAGACAGACACGTTAAGTTCCCCGATGTGGTGTAGGCAACACATTAAACAATACAGGCAAGATAATTTTGATGTGACCCCACCCATGTCAATGACCACGACGGTATATTTGTATCTTGCAGGTTCAGGTCAATGGAATTGTTTTTCATATCAATATTGGGTGGGATGTTTTTCATAATACATAAAATTTTGTCCATAGAATTAATATGGTAACCATGGTTACTACACACAGCGCATCATATGTCCACTGTTCGGAGCTCATAACATCTCTGTCTAGTCATGTTGGGAGCTCATAACATCACTGTCTAGTCATGCTAGGAGCTCATAACATCTGTCTAGTCATGTTGGGAGCTCATAACATCACTGTCTAGTCATGCTAGGAGCTCATAACATCTGTCTAGTCTTGTTTGGAGCTCATAACATCACTGTCTAGTCATGTTGGAAGCTCATAACACCACTGTCTAGTCCTGTTGGGAGCTCACAACATCACTGTCTAGTCATGCTGGGAGCTCATAACATCACTGTCTAATCTTGCTAGGAGCTCATAACATCACTGTCTAGTCATGTTGGGAGCTCATAACATCACTGTCTAGTCATGTTGGGAGTTCATAACATCTCTGTCTAGTCATGTTGGAGTGAGTGAGTAACTGTGGGTATCTGACAGATTTCACAAGGTAAGTGCAAATACCGAGACACACAACGGTCTCAAGTCACATGTCAAGATTTAATCAACCATCAGTTTCTCAGGACAAACCATTTGACTGACTTGTCAGCATATGTGAAGAAAACTAAGCTGTAACCAACTGCAGATCCGAGGACAGGATCTTAGATGACAAACCATATCCACTCCACAAAAACAGAAAACTTAAACATGATTACATTAATGGCATTATGAAATAATGTAGGAATATTGAATCAACTGATGGGTCTGGAAACCAAGAACCTACAGTGACAATACATGATAATGGCAGACTTCACAAGAGGCATCTCAACAAACACAAATGATTTCTGTGAAACATGTCTGATTTCGTGGAGGGATTTACACTACTGTAATAGATCAGCTATCACTTCATTCACCTGACATATCTGTGATTAACATCAGAGATGTATTAATTAAGAAACACCACGATGCTTGTCAATCAGTAGTTTTCAGGTTTGGCACTTTCAAACACTATGACTAAGGTGTAGCAAATGTTGCCCATATACTGTCAGCACTAACATGTAAGTAGTACAGGAAATGTTGTTAGAGTGAGTGAACGCGTTAGGCTTTACGTGCTTTTAGCAATATTCCAGCAATATTACTGCTGGGACACCACATATGGGCTTCACACATTGTACCCTTGTGGAGAATGGAACCAGGATCAAGTGAACACTTTTACCACTAGGCTACCCTACCACCCCTAATGTTCTCTACAGTAAGCAACAGAAGCCATGTAGCCTGATAGCAAAAACCCTGTCTTCACGTATCTAATCACTCTATACTGAGAGACCATGATATTTGGACCCTTATCGGATTGTTTAACAAAGTTGATCAGTGCCAGATGCCCAGGAACAGAGACAGTTTGTGAAGCCACACATACTGATATGGAATGAAGTGTATAATATAACATATCGTCACCACTGCTGCACACTGGGAATCATGAAGCCCTATGTAGAACTCTTCTTGCCCAAAATATCATCTATATTCCCCCCTAATTCTACACTGACTTCAGGCAGGCTGGGAATCAGGCCCTACACCAGCTGACAGCGGCCCACATATTACACATAAAGACAAGTAGGTGTGGTTCCAGTTTCTAGTCCAACTGTAATCTTGTTCGTATGTTCTGATACTTCTGTCTCCCAGTTTAGTTTTACGCCCCTTTTAGCAATATTCCAGGAATATCAGCATTCTCACCTCTGTGGGGAACACCAGAAATGGGCTTCACACATTGTACCCATGTGGGGAATTGAACCCAGTTCTTCGGTATGACGCGTGAATGCTTTAACCCTAGGCTAACTCACCGCCCCCTACCGCCTCCCAAAAGACGAACCAGTCAGAATGTACACCAGGTTCAAGCAGGTTCCAAATGACACAAGACAAGCTACAGATTTTCAAGGACTTTCAGGGACAGTTATTTTGCTATATCGGGAAGACATAAAACAGGAACCACACCTATCATATTTTATGGTTTCGTGGTGATGGCAAGAGGGTGTTTGGTGCAGGGTTGGCTTATGACCGCTGATGGAATGTAGTGATACCAGTTTGTTTCACTTAAAACATTGAAAATAGACAACACATGAGAATATTGACAAAATCAGCCAATCATATAACAATATATTAGTTGACATGTTTTTTTCATAAAGGATCACATTGATTCTGCTCAAATGCAAGTACCCCAATTGTTCGCATTGTATATTGTCAAGTACAACTTTTAACACCATAATGTAAATGAACTTTGATGTTCAAAATCATGTCGGTCAACTACGATGTTCAACATCAAATTTAAGTCAACTATGATCTTCAATAACATGTCGGTCAATATACTTTCAACATCATAATGTAGTTCAATCTTTATCATAACAATATTAGTCAACTACAGTTTCAACATCATAATGTCAGTCAACTACAGTTTCAACATCATAATGTCAGTCAACTACAGTTTCAACATCATAATGTCAGTCAACTACAGTTTCAACATCATAATGTCAGTCAATTAGATGTTCAACATCATAATGTCAGTCAACTACAGTTTCAACATCATAATGTCAGTCAACTACAGTTTCAACATCATAATGTCAGTTAACTTCGATGTTCAACATCATAATGACAGTCAACTTTGATGTTCAACATCATAATGTAAGTGAACTACGATGTTCAACATCATATTTCAGTCAGCTATGATGTTCAGCATGGCAAGAAAGGAATCAGTCTGATCACAGCTATCTGATTCTGATAGTCAGAAATTCTTAGAAAATCCTTACTAAGAGACAGTAAAGGGCTCTTGTTTCTATGGTCTTTCAAGCAGAAAATATATATATGTAAACAGTTATAAGATTTTATATATATATGTATGTATTCATGGTAATGGTAATAAATTCATTTTGAAAATAAACACTAATTTTGAAAAATGCTTAGAAAATATTTTGTAAAGTAGCATCAATTTTATCTGCTTGCTGCGGTGTTCATATGTTGAACTATGATACAGCTACAACTGTAGGTCAAGGCTAGTATAACGCTGAGCTTCCTCCAACTTTCATGTGTAACATGGTAGGGCTTGATACACTCACTTGTTAAAAACAAACTTGGAGCAAGGAACGACCTTGTGGCAATACATTCCATCACGATATACCTACTTGGTACATCGTCTACAATCTACATCCACAATTGTTGGATTTTCATCCTAAATTCACATACGTTGAGACAGACTAAACTTTACATATTTGATATTACAAGTTTTGATTTTTCATTTGAATAATCCCTACCTTAAACTGGACAAAGAGTTAATGATACAAAAATATCCAATGTGAACATGATCAAATGTTGGTGTAGAAGAATATACCCTCACAGCAACAACACTGAAGTGTACTTCACACAAACAACTCTCTGTCGTGTACTCACTAATGTATTGCGCTCATGTCAAATCTGTGTCACAATACTTAGGGTTACAATTTTATTTTCAAAACACTTGTTGTATATATATATAATTATATAACATACAAATTTCTTCAATTATCACAGGTATTACAACAAAGCTATATTTTGGGAACTTAGTATCACACAAAGTGGTTCCTAAAAGGATATTAAATACTGACATCCTGTGACACAATGAATCAGACCAGGCAGTCGAACAAACCAAACAAACCCATTGGCATGTTGAGATGGACATATTGTTCCAGTTTTGCCTTACAATAACACTGCTAAAGTTTCCAACTTATCCAGGCCAAGAAACCAACCACATTCAACACACATTCAAAGGGAGCTAACTCTGTGTGCCTTGGTTGTAGTTCAATACCAGCTAAATACTGGTAATGATATTATGAAAACTTTCCAAATCCTTGAAAGCAAAATCAATGTCACTGTCCCAGATTCATATTTGATTTATATCATCAGAAACGGGAGCAGGAAATCTTCAAGACAGGAGTTATAGTAAGTCATTACCTTGAGACATTAAACCAACAATGGATGTATGTACATTAAACAATGCTGGTTGTCTCCTTCACAAATACTCTGTTTGGCAGACTATCGTTATTCAACAAAGACCAGTATAATAGGTATTATGCAGAATGTAGTTTCTTAATATACAGAACAGTAATTTTATAAAATAACACAATCTAAAAACCAGTCTGACTGCTTCCCTGGGGGACAACAACATAGGCAAGGTTTTATACCAGCGTCCAACTGTACGAGATCCTGACAAACATTACTAATGTATCATATGAGGGCCATCATAGAATCCAGTCTTGTTTGATTCTGCCTTTAGCAATATTCCAGCAACATCACGGCGGGGACACTAGAAATGGGCTTCACACATTGTACCCACGTGGGGAATTAAACCCGGGTCTTCTTGAACGTTTTAACTACTAGGCTACCCCACCACCCCCATGACCAGTAAATTCATTAGATCTTTACGCTACATATTTAAATGCAATATCATTATTGGTTTCCTACAAGCTAAACAATGATTGTCTTGTCCCACAACGAAGAAAAGTCCCTATCATAGTTATTGCTGGCATCCATCTCAGTTAACTTAGAAGGAACTAGTGACACTTCCTGCTTGAGTAAAACTGAAAAGCTTAGGACTAAGATTCAAACTGCTATAACGTGACTGGTGGAGATTTCCTTAACAGACTTCAAAATATACCCAGATTTGTTACATTGTTTGTCTGGTGGCGCCACCTGCTGGCCATCAATGTGCCTGATCTTTCTGGTAGTAGTGTAGTGGGTAGATGAGAGTCACGTCAGCGTTAGTGTTGTGTTCAGCCAGTGAGATGCGACGATACTTGATAACAAGTTCCTTGAGGGTTCCAAAGAGACAGAGATCTTCAGTGAAGCCATAGCCACGCCCTTTTACGTGTAATATGATACAGTGTTGGACATGGTCTCGACACCTGAACAGAGAAACCATTTAAAATTGTATTTGAAACATGCTACACTGATACTGAAAAATAACTATTTCGTGCTCATAAGAACATCTTTAACATGTTCCATGATATACATGAATTATCTCAATTTCATACTGAAAATTTCATACAAATCATTATGTTGACTTAAAACATATTTACCATGTTTGGCACTATAACTACAACATGCAATATGCAGTTTAGGCCAGAACAATTTTATTTCTTGTTTTACTGATCCGCCCGTCATATTTTTTCAAGAATAGGAAAAAAAAAATTAAAAATTTTTCCCCGCTCAAAAAATAATATCCTAATGTTTCCATTGGCGAAAAATGTAAAGTTACAAGAATTGGAAATTTTACTATAAATTGTATATTTATATACTTATCCTATCTCACGCTATGCACCTCTCTTCTTCTACAACGATGTGTGGAAACATGCTGTAGGCTAAGTTGAATCAAAACTTCCTGGCCTCTGACCACCTGACCTCTGCCCCAAATCTGATAGCAGACCTGTCAATCATCTCAATAAGCATGCCGATCGATTAGATGATCACGTGACGTTCTGTGCCTGTCATTCTCGTCTTGGAGCATCCAGTAATCTGTGATGTGGGGCAGGTCGGGTGGGTATCCATAGCGTGAGATAGGATAAGTATATAAGTATACAATTTATAGTAAAATTTCCAAATTTTTAAACTTATCCTATCTCACGGTATGCATTATCCCAAGGTTGGAAGGCAGGCTGCAGATTACCCTGTGTCAACTCTACAACCGTGAGGTCGCATAACACACGGAGGCCAGTAGAAAGCACCAACTCCCGATATGCTAACTCTGAAACTTGTGATGGGTTGCTCCTGATAACCCCTTAGCTTACACAGCACAAAAACTCTAGGGAGTGGGCGGTGCTGAATTAATGTGGTTTTCAGCTGCAACTTTTGACAAGCAAAAGGACGCAGTTTGGCAAGTGGACCCCGCCTCCCCACGATTTATCAAGTGACCCCAGTGAATTAAAGTCGAAGACCTTAGTCTGGACAGTCCCTGCTTCGAGACACACGCTGGAAGGTAGGAACTGCATCTTATCTGCGTTTGCGAACCGACGACAGCTGCTGCGCCAGAACCAAAGGACCCATTTGGTGAAGACCCTCCACGTCAGTGACAGACAAATCCCGGAGGTAGGGTGAGACGAACACCATATTCAAACTCCAAAAAACAACCCTCCATGATGCCGTGAAGGGAACAGTTCTATGTAGTGTCATCGTAGTAGGAGGAGGAATGTCAGCATAGGCGTAGGCATGAAGGATGGTAGATCGCATCCAGAAGGTCAGTGTGGTACGAGAGACTTCTGTAGATGAGATAATGACAGAGAAATAAACAGTCTCTTGCGTAACCTACGACGGTCCTTGGAAGCAGCTAAAAGACCCGTAAAGTCCGGACAGGACATAGGGAGAGATCCTTGGTGTCGTCAGGGCCCAGAATAGTAGACAGCGGTGGGAAGGCGAATAGTCTGTCCGGCTGTCCAGGCAACTGGTTTCAGCGACGAGATCCCACCATAAACCAGGGAGGGCTTTGGCATGTTTAGTCCTCTCGAGGCAGCAGTCGCAGGAGGAAGAAAGTCTTAAACGTGACATGCTTGAAATCCTTCTCTGTCAGAGGTTCATACTCCTCTGGCGTGAGAAAATTAAAAACCACGGTAAAGTCCCAGGCTGGTGTCCGGAACTTCTGGGATTGATCAGCAACTTTGTAAGATCTGCGGAGAGACTGGACCTCAGGGACTGTAGACACCTTCGCACCCGTAGCCGGCACAATAACTGTGTTACGCATGGCCAGGTATGTAAACAAGGTAGAACCCTTCAATTCCTTGGAAGTTCTAGGATGCTGGAGGTGCTCCAAGACTATCTGAGGCGATGCTGTAGTGGGAGATATAATACCCATCGTCTTGCAGTACGCTTCAAAATTCTTCCATAGTCATCACAGAGTGCCCAGGTAGAAGTTCGGTGCGCCGTGGTAATCGCCGTAGCGACTTGCTTGGAATATCCCTTTGCAGTTAGCAATTCATGTAAATACACCAGGCGTGAATATTAAGTGTGAGCGGAGACCAATGCAGCTGATCGGAGTGAAGATGAACCAGAAGATAAGCGTGATCGGGAAGTGGTACTGGAATGGGTCGACCAAGTCTTGCAGGTCTAGGAACAAACTTCTGTCGGGCCAAAAAGGTGCAACCCAAAATCAGTGACATCCGCTGCATTGTACGCAACTTGTGCAGTATACGTGAAGTAGTGCCACTGGTGGAAACACATACGCGTTCAAGTCATCCCCGGGATGTGATTGGCCTGGACCGTGATGTTGTGAGAGTCTACTAAGTGGAAAAACTGTTGTGTCCACTGAAGAAGCTGAGGAGACTCCGTGGATCCCATTCGATTTATGTGCCACACAACTGCAGCATAGTCCGATCGAATCAAAAGCTTGGTTGATTGTAACAGGTGTTGCCAATGAGTGATCGCAAGAATCACTGCCCTGAGCTCCAAACATTCATGTGACATGCACGGTCTGCGGGTGACCACCGCCCTGCCACCTGCTGATTGAGAAAGTGAGCTCCCCACCCGTGTAGAGAAGCGTCTACGTACAGGTGATGTACTGGAGCAAACGGTCTTAAAGAGACTTCGACGCAAACATTCAACACGTCCAAACACCACTGGAGATGGGGATGGAGCACTGGAGAAAGAAAGATCAATGTGTGAGGGTCGCCGATCCTGATATGCAGACACAGAAAATATTGGAGAGGCCGTAGTTGAAGCTATCCCCTCAGAGTCACAACTTGAGCTGACGTCAACAGAAAAAGGTCTGTAACTGACGAAGAACCTTGGGTTGCGAAAGCACTAGGGGTACCTTAGAAACTCCAGCGCAGACATTCAGAAGGACTGGACGAAGGGGTGCTGGAAAGCGACTCAATTCCTTTGGGTTCAATTGACGGCCTCAAGATACTGGTGTAGAAATCACTGTATCTGCCGAAGTAGGGGATGGCCTCTGTACGTTGAGGCTTGAGCTGATATCAAAAGGCCTAGCAACTACTGCCACTGAAGAAGAAATCTCTCCTGAGATAGGATACATTCGATTAGTAAAGCCAGTATGACAGTACTGAAGAAGTGCTGAATGTAGTAGGTTCGTGGCATGGAGATTGTCAGTCAATCTACAGGAACGTTCACATTGTACACATAGTGATACAGGCCGTATAATCATTGATCGCAGGAACGTATGGTTCGCCAAATGAAGTGTTGGTCCGCCAGATGGAGTGAACAGTTAGTAGATGCGAGGCAAGGGATAGTCAATCTACCGGAACAGTCGTAAAGTTGATGGAATGGCGGAGGTAAAAAGACCAGTGACCCCAGGAACATTCGAAAGGATAGGTATCCGCTTCGTGGGACCAAGACTAGTTTGTCAGGGTACTTCATAGTCACTGTATCATCAAAAGGCTCCGGTAAACAAACAGTAGTCCGCCATTACAAATCTACCCACAATGCAATAATGACAAAAAACGGACAACATGGATGTCAATCAACCAGGCGAGTCCCAACCCATAGAATCTGGGTAAAGTGATGCTAGCTACTTGACCAAACATCACTGCTGGTACCACACGCAGAAACTTTGCATAAATAGACAAGGTTGATATTCAGGAATATTGTACGACGCTTCACTGAATCTTGTTACTGTATACAGACTACTCGTAGCAGCTTTGTGGTGTATCGCTGGGTGTAATCGTGGTCTGTTTCATCAACCTCAGCACCCTTCCTTTCACATCATCGGCAAGTTTCTGGACAATACGTCAAACCGGTGGTTGTAGAGCTGATCGAAGGGGAGATTCGGTGAATCGAATCATTCGTCAAAGGTGAAGATGGGATGGTAGATGACGGAGGAATCTTAAAAATCCGGGATCATCAATCACCGCCGTAATGTAGGGCTGCGCTACTGACATAACTACTACCTCTGTACAACCAGCTGAAAAGATGCACTATAGTATGACCAGAAATTATTGAGAATTTTAGGAATATGTTTAATTGGATTTCTAGTATAAACAACCTTGACCAGCTATCAAGTGCTTGGTTTCATTCAAGAGAGACAACTCCATTAATCTTTTTTCATTGGTTTGTGAAGAGTTATCCCCCTTTGTTTACTTGCTAGCAGACGACATTTTCAGTGATCCTCAGTATGGATGATTTAGAGAAGAGGAAGTTGATTTTAGAGTATTATAACAAGGACATCAGATCAGCTAAAGTGATTTTAAGTAGAACAGGCATCCCTTTGTCCACTGTTTATCGTGTTTTGAAAAATATTGCAAATGGATATGGCATTGAGCACCAGGGAGGCGCAGGTAGGCCCAGAAAATTGACTGTCAGTGACAGGAGGCGGCTTGGTATTCTTGTTTCTTAAAACAAACGAAGGAGTTTAGAAAACGTAAGGCTGGATATGATTGATAGAGGAACTGTGGCTGTCTGTAAGGAGACAATTAGAAATGAGCTGCATGCAATGGGTTGGCAGAAAAGTCAAGGAATTCCATCACCGATCATGAACCCTGAACAAAAGGAGTGAAGGTTGAACTGGTGCTTACAGCATAGAAATGTTAACTGGGACAGTTCTGTGTGGCTGTTCATACACTGAAATTCTGGACCAAACAAACTGAAAAACCTTTGTATCAGCACCCAAAGAACAGTCCGAAATTTAACGTGTGCGGTGGCATATCTGTGTTAGGGGCAACGCCCCTCTGTGTATTTGAAGGTAATATGAACAGTGAGCGGTACACAGATATTCTCGAGGGACATTTACTTCCATCTGCTCACATGTTCTATGGAAATTTTTGGATTTTCCAGCAGGACAACGACCCAAAACATCGTCCAAAATATGACATTATTACACTGGCCAAGCTATAGCCCTGATCTAAATCCAATAGAAATGTTTGGGGACTCAGGAAAGTGTCAATAAGAAAAATCTGACAAATATTGCTGAAAAGAAAGAAGAGGTGGTCCGATATTGGGACAGCATGGGCCACGACTTTCTAACTTCTTTGATCAGTAGTATGCCCCGCCGCATTGAAGCCTGCATTGCTGCCCATGGTGACTTGACAAAATACTAACTGTTCACCTGTCTTTGAATCTGGAGTTATGTTCTGCTAATATTCACATTTAATACGTGAGAGGTTGTTAGCACTAGGTACCACTGTCGGAGCAGATGAAACTTGTCTGGAGACGGGACTAGACGTAGACGTTGAGGACGAAAGAGACGACGGAGATACTCGCTCAATTAGGAGTCTGAGGCCACCTTTAAAAAATCTTCGTCCGGGGACGGAGATTAGATCGACGAACTGCTCTCATCGAACAGCGTTCTGATTTAGCAAACTTAGAAGTTGAAGGACCTTCAGCAGTTGTACTCCAATCTCTGTCCGATCTACGTCTAGATGCACCCCGTCGATATTCCGAAAAAACATCATCATTCAAGTGTGAACACCTATGTGGCCAACTACAACAGCCTATACAATCCACACACAAAGCGTGGATCAGCAGCGGAATAGTTGCTGTTGCACTGACCACAAAGTTTGCGTTTCTTAAAAGAACATCGATTCGATTTATTTCCCATATTGACAATCAAATAATGTCTAACTAAGAGAACAGCACGCGTCTACACGGTGTAGCGACAAGAAGGAGAATGACAGGCACAGAACGTCACGTGATCATCTGAGCGATCGGCACGCTTATTGAGATGATTGACAGGTCTGCTATCGGAGTGGGGACAGAGGTCAGTTGGTCAGAGGCCAGGAAGTTTTGATTCAACTTAGCCTACAGCACGTTTCCACACATGGTCGTAGAAGAAGAGAGGTGCATACCGTAAGATAGGATAAGTCTAAAAAGATTTTTATTAGATTGTTTTTTGCCCCATATGCACTTCATTAACTGCCAAAATTAAATTACTTTTAGTATTTAAATGGAATACAGTCATCCCTCGCCATAACGCTGGTCTTGGGGTCCATGGATGACCCCCCGCGTTATTAGACACCCTCGTTATAGTAACGATTACGTAACGCAGAACAAAGGCCAAGTAAAATTATATTTTTCATGGACATAACAAAACTGCTATTTCGTGTATTGTGCCCAGTCAAAACTATATCGTATTGTTGGAGGTGAAAAAAACAAAACAAACTTTGTAAATGAAAATAAATGTATGTAGATGAAACTTGCAATCAAACATCACAAGACATAATAATTCAATTGTTGTTCCTGTCATGCTACCTGTTATTCAACTAAGCCGGAAATAGCAATCAGCTGGGCACAGATCGATGTTTTGGTCCAATGTACCGGTGATTCAGTTAAAAACGATCCGAAAATATAACATCAAATAAATTCTATTCCATTATCAGAATAATTTATATGTCAAGCAGTTATTCTAACGGAGATCTTATATATTGCTATCGTATAAGTATAATGCATGTTTTCTACAAACATATTTAACATAATAATTAGCATTGCTAAGCACTCTGGGTTACCTGGCTGGATACATTTTACGTAGGAGACATTTTGACAAGTCACCGCTGACTTCCCGCGGTACAGGCCACTTTGATTGTAAAAACAAAATGTTGGCAAAATTAATTGTCAAATATGACTTCAATGAGTCAATAACGCGGGTCTTGGGGTCAATGGATGATAAGGCTGTAATCTGTTCGTGATTGCTGAGAAAAATGTGAAATTGTTGCTATCACGGTAGGCACGAAAAACGGACCCTCACGAATGTGGTAAGCGGCCGTTGTATGGAATGAGGTAATGCCATTTCACTCACGGTTTCTCCATTGTTATTGTAAACAGTTTTAATGAATGAAAATGGGATTGAATTTAATCAAATAAAACGTTTTTTCTGACATCATATATTCTCGGATGGCGGTGTAAGTACTCGGCTGATGATCGACATGTATTTATGATACAGTTATTACGATGTTTCGCTGTTCATCTATTACTATTGAAAAAAAACCTGCACGTTTTAAGCATCTGAAAAACCATGGATATGTACGATAAACACTGTTAATTGCAATCCGCACTGAATTTCACTAGTTTACAACGTGATTAACCAGAGCTCAACGGCGGATTTGTTGATGTGCTATTTTCGATTTGTAAAAGCAAGAAATAAAATTGGTCTGATCTTACCCAAATCAGTAAATACAGGAGGAGATGTGTTTGACATTTTCTGCTTCAGTGTCAGGGAATCACTGAAGTCATAGTAAGTATCTGAAACCTTCAGTTGTGGCACAGGAACCAATAAAAATAACTCATGTTTACCATGACAACAGTTTACAGAGACTTGTTTACCCAAACAAATGGCGATATGGACTGGTTTACCACAACAATAGCTAATATAGACTTGTTTACCCAAACTATTGCCTATATAGACTTGTTTACCACTACAATATCTAACATAGATTAGTTTACCACAACAATTTCCGATATAGACTGATGTGGACTTGTTTACCACGATAGCTAATATGGCTGTTTGCCACAACAATACCTATTATTATGTAAGCATATTTTCCCGGCTACCTGATTGGTGTAGAAGCAGTCACGTGACCGTCGACAGAAAAGCATATTGACACCAGCCCAGGACCAACCAAGTCATATTGATTGAGTTACTAAAAATAGATTTTGACGTCAAGCTATGACGTCATTCTATTGTTTACATGTCACAGTATTGTTGACATAACGTTACTGGTTTGTAGTGAAAATAAAATTACTTTTCTTGACTAAATGGGACATGTTTTGGTTTTTAGAAGCTTTTTTCTGGTAATTACACAATAAAACAATTATGGACTGGTGAATTCAGTCAATACCTGTTTTTATGGATCCATAAAAACAGGTATTGACCGAATTCACTAGTCTATAATTGTATAATATAGACTTGTTTACGACAAGAAGAGCTATAACAGCTATACTGATTTGTTTCCAATGTGTACCACAACAATTAAATACTGTAAACGTACTTATTTTTGCGTGGTGCAATTTTCGCGGAATTGACAGTTTAGACTACATCGAGCGGTCAATTATTCGCGCAATCAGTAATTGACGGAACTGCCAGCTGTCTCTTTGGTCGCCACTAATAGCTGTGAAAACAATCAGAGTGGCTCAACCTGTCATGCGGCGTTTATAACTTACTCACAGGAAATCCCTATCTGTGCGATATACTAGTACACAGTAATCCGTTTACTCAGGGAAGAGATGAAAAACACATCAGTCTCATGTTCAGAATTCTGACAATCTGACGAATTAACTTCTACTGTATATGAAGCTCTTTGTGATTTCAAACAAGCCGGGTTGTTGTGAATGAGATGATTGAGTGTTAAGTGACTATTCGCTTCATGATGGACTGGTAAATAAAATCTTAATGAATAAATAAAATACTGCTGTATTATTTCTTTCCGAGTCGTTTCATGGTAATCTGTTTTGTATCAAACCATCTGTCATGTGACCAATTTCCATGGCGGCCACAACACACATTGCTGTTTTCGCTAATTCGGCGATGGGATTTGGCTCATTATTTAATTATGTTTTGGGAAATCCATTATAGCGACAGTTAAGTATGATTCTTTATGCTACTATCAGTCAACATTTTAAGATTCCCGTAGATTTCTGTCTTCAAACTTGATGTGTTATGGTAACAACTCAGGGGCTAGACTGAATGAATGACAGGTTTATTCGCGGTGTATAAATTTTTGTGCTAAAATGTTTTGCGCGAAAAGCGCGAAAATAAAACCTGCGCGAAATATAATACGTTTACAGTAGTTCATTTTGTATTATTTATTCATGTTTACCACTATGACACCACAGTAAGATGTTAGGAGTATGACTTACATGACAGAGAGTGCATGCTGGTTGTTGTCAGACTTAGGACGTACAAGAAAGGTTCCATGGGATTTGTTGGCAAGCAGGTTCTCGGCCTCAGGCCGGTCACACCGGACGTACCAGCTGTCCTGGTTGTAATGACAGAGCGACACACCCTTCTCCTCTTCCAGGAGCCCATCGACAAAGTCCTGACTCAAGCCCTCATTCAGGACATTCCTAAAACACAAATACAACCAAAATACTAGTTTGCTTACATTAGGAGAAATGACATGGGGTTTTATGTCACTTTCAAGACTAATGCACTTACATAGCAACATACATGCACGATTGTGCCCTCATGTGTCGCCTGGTGCCTGTCCAGGCAAGTACCGATTTTATAGTGCTAGCCAATGGAGACAATGCCACACTTTCGCATGCTATCACACTGACTGACTGAGAAACCCACTAACTACCAACATGTGCCCTCCTCATTTCTTCCCACTAACTACCAACATGTGCCCTCCTCATTTCTTCCCAGTAATTACCAACATGTGGCCTCCTCATTTCTTCCCAGTAATTACCAACATGTGCCCTCTTCATTTCTTCCCAGTAATTACCAACATGTGCCTTCATTTCTTCCCAGTTATTACCAACATGTGCCCTCCTCATTTCTTCCCAGTAATTACCAACATGTGCCCTGCTCATTTTCTTCCCAGTAATTACCAACATGTGCCCTCCTCAATCCTTCCCACTAACTACTAACATGTGCCCTCCTCAATCCTTTCTACCAACTACCAACATGTGCCCTCCTCAATTCTTTCCACTAACTACCAACATGTGCCCTTCTCATTTCTTCCCAGTAATTACCAACATGTGCCCTCCTCATTTCTTCCCAGTAATGGGGTAGCCTAGTGCTTTAAGCGTTGGCTCGTCACGCCGAAGACCCGGGTTCCAATCCCCACATGGGTACAATGTGTGAAGCCCATTTCTGGTGTCCCCCGCCGTGATATTACTGGAATATTGCTAAAAGAGGCGTAAAACCAAACTCAGTCAGTCATTCAGTCTTCCCAGTAATTACCAACATGTGCCCTCCTCATTTCTTCCCAGTAATTACCAACATGTGCCCTCCTCATTTCTTCCCAGTAATTACCAACATGTGCCCTCTTCATTTCTTCCCAGTAATTACCAACATGTACTTCCCTCCTCAATCCTTCCCATGTGCCCTCTTCATTTCTATTTCCCAGTAATTACCAACAGTAATTACCAACATGTGCCCTCTTCATTTCTTCCCAGTAATTACCAACATGTGCCCTCCTCATTTCTTCCCAGTAATTACCAACATGTGCCCTCTTCATTTCTTCACAGTAATTACCAACATGTGCCCTCTTCATTTCTTCCCAGTAATTACCAACATGTGCCCTCTTCATTTCTTCCCAGTAATTACCAACATGTGCCCTCTTCATTTCTTCCCAGTAATTACCAACATGTGCCCTCCTCATTTCTTCACAGTAATTACCAACATGGGCCCTCCTCATTTCTTCCCAGTAATTACCAACATGTGCCCTCTTCATTTCTTCCCAGTAATTACCAACATGTGCCCTCTTCATTTCTTCCCAGTAATTACCAACATGTGCCCTCTTCATTTCTTCCCAGTAATTACCAACATGTGCCCTCTTCATTTCTTCCCACTAACTACCAACATGTGCCCCTACCTCCTCATTTCTTCACGCTGATTACCAAGCCGCTTCACTTCCGGCCTTAGGTTGATCATGTCATTGATGGCCCTGTTATTGTCACTGTTCATCTGGTCTGCCAGACGTCTCTGCTTGTCATAGCTCTCCTTCAGTGACACCAGGCGATTCTCCTGCAGCTTCATGTTCCGCTCAAACCTAAATCCAGAACACAAGAATATCAACAGACCACAGCCGACAGTTTCAGTAATTACTCTACAGACAGATTTATGAAAGTGACAACAGCATGGGACAACCATGTCATGTGATAAGTTACACAGTAGTTAAACGTACAGGGGAATCTCATGCTGACTCAGTTGGCCCTGGTGCTGCAGCAACGTCTTCTGCTGCTCCTCCATCATGCTCTGCATCTTCATCATCGCATCCAGGGACAAGTAACAGCGCTGGATCTCCTGCAGACACCAGAATAATATTACAGTTACATATAGAAAGCTTTGTTTTCATCTTGGCACCAAGGTCACGACCATACTGAGAACATCAAGGTCATGGAGGTGGTGGATGTAGAAAGCAGTGCCTACCATACTGAGAACATCAAGGTCATGGAGGTGGTGGATGTAGAAAGCAGTGCCTACCATACTAAGAACATCAAGGTCATGGAGGTGGTGGATGTAGAAAGCAGTGCCTACCATACTAAGAACATCAAGGTCATGGAGGTGGTGGATGTAGAAAGCAGTGCCTACCATACTAAGAACATCAAGGTCATGGAGGTGGTGGATGTAGAAAGCAGTGCCTACCATACTAAGAACATCAAGGTCATGTGGAGGTGGTGGATGTAGAAAGCAGTGCCTACCATGCTAAGAACATCAAGGTCATGGAGGTGGTGGATGTAGAAAGCAGTGCCTACCATACTAAGAACATCAAGGTCATGGAGGTGGTGGATGTAGAAAGCAGTGCCTACCATGCTAAGAACATCAAGGTCATGGAGGTGGTGGATGTAGAAAGCAGTGCCTACCATACTAAGAACATCAAGGTCATGGAGGTGGTGGATGTAGAAAGCAGTGCCTACCATACTAAGAACATCAAGGTCATACTGAGAACATCAAGGTCATGGAGGTGGTGGATGTAGAAAGCAGTGCCTACCATACTAAGAACATCAAGGTCATGGAGGTGGTGGATGTAGAAAGCAGTGCCTACCATACTGAGAACATCAAGGTCATGGAGGTGGTGGATGTAGAAAGCAGTGCCTACCATACTAAGAACATCAAGGTCATGGAGGTGGTGGATGTAGAAAGCAGTGCCTACCATACTAAGAACATCAAGGTCATGGAGGTGGTGGATGTAGAAAGCAGTGCCTACCATACTAAGAACATCAAGGTCATGGAGGTGGTGGATGTGAGAACATCAAGGTCATGGAGGTGGTGGATGTAGAAAGCAGTGCCTACCATACTAAGAACATCAAGGTGGTGGATGTAGAAAGCAGTGCCTACCATACTAAGAACATCAAGGTCATGGAGGTGGTGGATGTAGAAAGCAGTGCCTACCATACTGAGAAAGTCGTAGTTGTCATGGTGGTTATTATAGGCTTTGTGTTTCTCCAGGTACTTCTTGTTGACTTCCATCAGTTTGGACAGCTTGGTGTAGAGGTTGTCCCCTTCATCCTCCTCCGTCAGCCACTGACAACACGACACGCACACACATGACACATACAGTCGTAACTCCCAGCAACAGAGCCATGACACATAACAAACATTATCTACTCAGTGATCATTTCAAGCCTTGGAATTCTTTTCACTATGCCAAGATTTCATAGGTTCAAAACTGATTCATTAAAGGGGCACTAATCCAGAGTGATAAATGTAATTACATGTGTAGCTGCCAGGTGGCCAGTCCCTGCTCCCTTGACCATGACGGACACAAGGACTGGGCAGCTGTCCACCATGACAGAATTTCTTCAACCTTAATGAGACAATAAGAATGGTGGATGCTTCGTTTTCTTTAAATCCTGACATTTTTTACCACTGACAGATAAAGTTAAATTTCAGAATGGTTTCATTTGTAATCATGATAATGAAGATGGAAATATTAATGGGTACAAAAGATAACTACATTTTCCAATTAATTCCAAGACGACACGTTATTTTAACCTTGTTGATCAACGTAAAGATACGCCCTTATACTACCAATTGCGCTAGTGGGTGGCGCAGCAGAGATCACTAACTAGTCAAGAATTATGGGATATAATCTAAGTAGTCTTGGGAAAAAAACAATAACAAAAGCAACAACCAGTCCCAGGGAATTGCTCTGGATCAGTGCCCCTTTAATATGAGTTTGTTATTTTGAAAAAGTAGTTTCTGATAGACTCACAGAATGCTCCAACCGTGTGAATGGGTATAGTAGCTTGATATCGAGGCTGCGGTTGTGAATCTTCAGTGATGTTGTCTGGTATTTCTCTATCAGCTCCACCACAGAGGGGAATTCACATGGTTCCGCAAAACCGAACAGGTTGTTCTGGCGGAGGATCTTGATACATTTATTGGTGCCATCTTTCCTGTAAAGAACATCTAAACTTGACAAGGCATTGGTGTATTGTCCAGAGGACAAGGGTGTACTGATCAGAGGACAAGGGTGTACTGATCAGAGGACAAGGATGTACTAATCAGCTGATCTGAGTACAAGGATGTGCTAACCAGCTGATCAGAGGACAAGGATGTACTAATCAGCTGATCAGAGGACAAGGACGTACTGATCAGAGCACCTGAGTATACTGATCAGAGGGCACGGATGTACTAATCAGCTGATCTGAAGAAAAGGATGTACTAATCAGCTTATATGAGAACAAAGATGTACTAATTAGCTGATCTGAGGACAAGGATGTACTAATCAGCTGATCAGAGGACAAGGATGTACTGATCAGAGCACCTGAGTATACTATGGATGTACTAATCAGCTGATCAGAGGACAAGGATGTACTAATCAGCTAATCAGAGGACAAGGATGTACTGACAAGAGGACAAGGATGTACTGATCAGAGCACCTGAGCATACTATGGATGTACTAATCAGCTGATCAGAGAACAAGAATGTACTAATCAGCTGATTAGAAGACAAGGATGTACTGATCAGAGCACTAGAGTATGCTGATCAGAGGACACGGATGTCCTGACAAGAGGACAAAGATGTACTAAATAGCTGATCTGAGGACCAGGTTGTGCTGACAAAGAGAACATGGGTGTAGTATTCAGATATCAAAGGAGTAGTGTTCCGAGCACATGTCAAACTGATTAGAAAAACATGATTGTACTGATAAGAAGATCAGGCAGTACTAGTAAGAAGACGTGTACTGATCAGAAAAGAACATATTAACTATATGAAAAGGTGTGATGATCAGAAGACAAGAGTAATCACCAGACACTGAGATACTAATTAGAAGTCATGGATGTACTACTCAGAACATTATGCATTGATCAGACCCCAGGAGAACTTACCTGAGGACCAGAGTGTATTCCCCTGGAGTGGTTGAGTTTCTCACTAAGAAGGTGCCATCAGAGGTGTCAAATAGTTTCTCTCCAGCCTCGATCCTGTAAAATAATCACTCATTGTATCACACGTAACCTGACACTAAACTAAGGCCTGGAGATTATATCACACGTAACCTGACACTTAAACTAGGCCTGGAGATTGTATCACACGTAACCTGACACTTAAACTAAGGCCTGGAGATTGTATTATCACACGTAACCTGACACTTAAACTAAGGCCTGGAGATTGTATCACACGTAACCTGACACTTAAACTAAGGCCTGGAGATTGTATCACACGTAAACTGACACTTAAACTAAGGCCTGGAGATTGTATCACACGTAACCTGACACTTAAACTAAGGCCTGGAGATGTTGCCCAGTATCACAGTGAGACAGAACAGTGCAGATTTTGCTAGGTACAACAGTGTGAGACAGGACAGCCTCTGGAGATGTCACCCAGTACCATCACAGTGTGATATAGGACACCTACCTGGAGATGTCACCCAGTACCATGTGTGAGTGATGATATAGAGATGTAAGCCCAGTACCACACCTGATATATGACACCTACCTGGGATGTCACCCAGTACCATAGTGTGATATAGGACAACTACCTGAAGATGTCACCTCAGTACCACGTGTGAGATAGGACAATACCTGAAGAAACCAGTACCTGGAGATGTCATCCAGTACCACGGTGTGATATAGGACACCTACCTGGAGATGTCGCCCCAGTACCACTGGGCCCTTTTGAGACCTTTGTCTGGCTCAGTCCATTTCATGTAGTTGTCATTCTCACTTTGAGCCTATTAACAGAACATAATCAACTGGTGAGTGTTGCATCACATGTATGAGCAATGCTGCACTTACTTGACTGTATTCAATAAATAATCAACAAAGAAAGGAATTTCTCAGTGAAATATAACTCAGATAATTACACAGTGATGATGCATTATGTGTATATTTAATAAGAATTAACACATAATGCATTAACATTATCTTATTTACATTGTATCATCAGGATTTCTTTTCAGCTGACTCACTCCTAGGGAGAAAATATGTGTGCAGGTGACCACTATTTCCGGCTTAGTTTCCAACACAAATATCATTCTGATCTGCATATAAAACAAAAACCTAGCAAAACAATAATTACAGTTGAAATGGTAAATCAATGTGTCTACATGATGATGTTTTATCACAAATTTCACATCTTCTAGACCAAGTCTGTTTTTCCTACAGGCAATATGATGTATGTTGATTTTGACAATGTTTTTTCCCCAAAAGCGCAAAACTTCGAGGGGCTGCAAATTATGCATGGCTTTCACAATAACCAAGAAAAGTTAGTTACTCTTAAGGTGTTAAGGCAAGCAATATCAAGGCGGGGGGACTCCAGAAATGGGCTTCACACAGTTTACCCATGAGGGGAATCGAACCTTGGTCTTTGTCGTTACGATTACGAGCGAATGCTTTAACCACTAGGCTACCCCACTACCGCCTAACAGAACTGAACATTTTGTTCTGTTTAAATCCTGGTAAGTACTATTCATGTTAGGGATAGACCAGGTGGAACGGGGACTCGGGGCAGGTGGGTACTTTACCCACAGGACTACCCAAACTGTTTTATCCTGTGATAATGATATTGCATAATGACAAACATTCACTCAGGATACTATGGGAACGCCACGGTTACGTGACAGGTCAATAATTTCACATTTCTGACTATGCACATGTCTGACTTCTATACTTTTGAATAAAGACATAGCTTCTGTCAACATTAGTGACTTCATGTCGTGTTACACGTGCGTCTAGGATTTTACCGGGCTATTACAGTAACACATTTTGTAATTATTGTCACTCTTATTCCATTTTCAGACGGATATTCATCGTGTATCATTAGCAATTGATAATGACCAGTGCCCTAATGAAATCTCAACTGGCGAAAAATCAGATGGTACACTGTCGACGTGACCTATTTTTTTCTCTCCCAGTTGATCAATGATTTAGGCTTCCCTCAAAAGACTTTCGGTCACATTCGCGTATGAAACAAAGGCACATAATCTAAATTTACCTGTGTATTTTCGCCAGACATGAGACTTGCTATTTGTCTCTACATCTAATGAAATCACTTCATGGTACTGCCAAAACAAGGAAATAGCTGGTTCTCTCCTTAGCAAAAACTATTGTGACATTCCCAACCCGGAAGTAGAGTTGAGTATCGAAAACGAGGTCATGTTCAGCATATCACGTGACCACTGTCCAACTGCAAGATAGCAATATGACAAAATGGTATTCATCACTGAGTTTGTTAATACATTTCCATATATTGTGTGTGTTTCATGGCTTTACAAAAACACAAACAATAATAACAAGAAATATAATTTTCATATATTAATGAATATGAATGGCTTAATAAGATAAGAGATGAACGAGGAAATGTTTTGGTTGTTTAGTTTCTAAAGCAACACTTGTAATAAGAACGCATTTTTTCGCTTCTACTTCCTTCTTCAATGGTAAAAGTGTAAGGCGACTACATCCGTATTTCTAACTAATTTATTTCTTTCTATCTGTGACACAAACCCTCTCTAGACAGAAGGTGATAAGAGTCTACATCACTTTAGCTTAAGAACCGTAACGTAGAAAATTAATTTGGGTCTTCATCACTTACAGCTAAAAAAACCCCACAAAATAGATAATTGACCTGGGTCTACATCACTTTAATTAAGGAATCTTAAGGTATAAATACACAATGAACCCGGCTCTACCTCACTTTAGTTAAAGACTGTTGTGTGTAATTGTGAAACAAGTAAAAGACTGTAAAACCAGTGAAAGACTGTAAAACCTATCAGTTTTTCAAGATAAATCCATGTCTCCATGTAAAGTCTGAGAATTCTCAGAATGAATAAAGATGTCCTACCAACCAACACTTGTCATTTTTTTAAACTTCTGTAGGCAGAGTGGGAAGACACCATAGAATTTACCAGCTAACTAGTCAACAGGTCAGATCGGTGTATTCACATCCTGATCACTGGACCGTATCATGTTGTTTTAACCTGTAGGCAGTTTGGAACTGTAGGCAGTATGGGAATACACCGTTAAGGAACCTTAAGGTACATAATTAACCTGTGTCTACGTAGAAGTCACTTTAGTTAAAGAATCCTAACGTAGATATTAACCTGTGTCTACGTAGAAATCACTTTAGTTAAAGAATCCTAACGTAGATAATTAACCTGTGTCTACGTAGAAATCACTTTAGTTAAAGAATCCTAACGTAGATAATTAACCTGTGTCTACGTAGAAATCACTTTAGTTAAAGAATCCTAACGTAGATAATTAACCTGTGTCTACGTAGAAATCACTTTAGTTAAAGAATCCTAACGTACATAATTAACCTGTGTCTACGTAGAAATCACTTTAGTTAAAGAATCCTAACGTACATAATTAACCTGGGTCTACGTAGAAATCACTTTAGTTAAAGAATCCTAACGTAGATAATTAACCTGTGTCTACGTAGAAATCACTTTAGTTAAAGAATCCTAACGTACATAATTAACCTGGGTCTACGTAGAAATCACTTTAGTTAAAGAATCCTAACGTAGATAATTAACCTCTGTCTACGTAGAAATCACTTTAGTTAAAGAATCCTAACGTACATAATTAACCTGTGTCTACGTAGAAATCACTTTAGTTAAAGAATCCTAACGTAGATAATTAACCTGTGTCTACGTAGAAATCACTTTAGTTAAAGAATCCTAACGTAGATAATTAACCTGTGTCTACGTAGAAATCACTTTAGTTAAAGAATCCTAACGTAGATAATTAACCTGGGTCTACGTAGAAATCACTTTAGTTAAAAGAATCCTAACGTAGATAATTAACCTGTGTCTACGTAGAAATCACTTTAGTTAAAGAATCCTAACGTACATAATTAACCTGGGTCTACGTAGAAATCACTTTAGTTAAAGAATCCTAACGTAGATAATTAACCTGTGTCTACGTAGAAATCACTTTAGTTAAAGAATCCTAACGTAGATAATACGTAACCTGTGTCTACGTAGAAATCACCTTAGTTCTAAGAAATCACTAGTTAAAGAATCCTAAATTAATTAACCTGTGTCTACGTAGAAATCACTTTAGTTAAAGAATCCTAACGTACATAATTAACCTGTGTCTACGTAGAAATCACTTTAGTTAAAGAATCTAACGTAGATAATTAACCTGGGTCTACGTAGAAATCACTTTAGTTAAAGAATCTAACGTACATAATTAACCTGTGTCTACGTAGAAATCACTTTAGTTAAAGAATCCTAACGTACATAATTAACCTGTGTCTACGTAGAAATCACTTTAGTTAAAGAATCCTAACGTAGATAATTAACCTGGGTCTACGTAGAAATCACTTTAGTTAAAGAATCCTAACGTAGATAATTAACCTGTGTCTACGTAGAAATCACTTTAGTTAAAGAATCCTAACGTAGATAATTAACCTGTGTCTACGTAGAAATCACTTTAGTTAAAGAATCCTAACGTACATAATTAACCTGGGTTTACGTAGAAATCACTTTAGTTAAAGAATCCTAACGTAGATAATTAACCTGGGTCTACGTAGAAATCACTTTAGTTAAAGAATCCTAACGTACATAATTAACCTGGGTTTACGTAGAAATCACTTTAGTTAAAGAATCCTAACGTACATAATTAACCTGTGTCTACGTAGAAATCACTTTAGTTAAAGAATCCTAACTTAGATAATTAACCTGTGTCTACGTAGAAATCACTTTAGTTTAAGAATCCTAACTTAGATAATTAACCTTGGTCTACGTAGAAATCACTTTAGTTAAAGAATCCTAACGTACATAATTAACCTGTGTCTACGTAGAAATCACTTTAGTTAAAGAATCCTAACGTAGATAATTAACCTGGGTTTACTTAGAAATCACTTTAGTTAAAGAATCCTAACTTAGATAATTAACCTGTGTCTACGTAGAAATCACTTTAGTTAAAGAATCCTAACTTAGATAATTAACCTGGGTTTACGTAGAAATCACTTTAGTTAAAGAATCCTAACGTACATAATTAACCTGGGTCTACGTAGAAATCACTTTAGTTAAAGAATCCTAACGTACATAATTAACCTGTGTCTACGTAGAAATCACTTTAGTTAAAGAATCCTAACGTAGATATTAACCTGTGTCTACGTAGAAATCACTTTAGTTAAAGAATCCTAACGTACATAATTAACCTGTGTCTACGTAGAAATCACTTTAGTTAAAGAATCCTAACGTAGATAATTAACCTGGGTTTACGTAGAAATCACTTTAGTTAAAGAATCCTAACGTAGATAATTAACCTGGGTTTAGATTACTTAATAAGAAGTATTTTCAGATTAAGTCATATCATATTTCATTCTGAAACAGAACGCCAGCTCAATCGTCAGTGTAAAGACGCGTTAACTGAAGAATCAAGGAACATGTCCAATGTTTTTTTAATCATCACAAAGAGGGTTCATTTGATTACACAATGTAGTTGAAGGATTCTCAATTATTTTGGGGAATGAACGGGGATGTATATTAAAATCTATGTAGTTCCTTTTTGGATCCCACATTGAAGACTTTACTTAGTGGTATGTGGCACACTATGATAAAGACGGAAGATATGTTTGTTTTAACCCCACTCAGCAATATTCCAGCGACGACAGTCTGTTGATAAACGAGCCTCGGCTAGACAATCCAGTGATTGACATTATGAGCACCAATCTACACATTAGGGGATGCCATGACATGTTTCAACCATACATGACCATCCGATCCCGTTTCAACAAGAACGGGTTGGTGAAGGTCGGGTGATCTCGGGCTTGTTGTCTGAAAGTAAATGCATATAACAGTATTATCACAACAAATACCTCCTCTCTAGGCGGCCGGGAAGTAAACTGTGGATACTGCATGCGTATGTCTGTCATAATGACACTATACAGGACGTGCGCAAGCTAATCGCCTCATATCTGTAGTGATTGGACGCTGGACTTCGATACGATTGTCTATGTTATCAGTAGAGCAGTTAATTTCAGCCAACAGCTCGCTGGCGTTAAGGAAACTTCCGATTTGGACACTCGGATAACTGACCTCTCCGAAGATGCCGTTCACCACTACCTTTGTTTGTTACTTGCATATTACAGAATGACAAGAATTGAAAAATATATGCATAGTGTCCAGTTTGTGATTATACTCAGTTACTAAAAACTGGAAAAGGAAGAGGATAGAAGTAGTTTGTGTTATGTTTTAGTAGTTTTTTTATCAGTGCTAAAATAAGTATTTTTAAAATAGTATTTTGGTAAATGTGTTTCATAGTCTGATGATGATTTAATTAAGGGCTTGTCATATACATTTAATTCATAAATCATGACAATAACTGCCAGTTTTATAACTAAACGAAAGTGTGAAAGGAATTGTGCAGACCCGTTAAGATCCGGGTTAGAATTGATCTTTAGCAACCCATGATTGTCGTAAGAGGCGACTAACGGGACCGTGTGGTCAAGCAGACTTAATTGGTTGACACATGTCATCGTATCCCAATTGCGTAGATCGATGTTCATGCCGATGTTCACTTGATTGTCTGGCCCAGACTCGATCATTTTCAGGCCGCCGCCATTTTGCTGAAATATTGCTAAGTGCGGCGTTAAACAACAAACAAAGAAGATGTGCCGATCCTCATGTCTTTAGCTGCATGGCGAGACATGCACCGGCAAAAGCGTGTATTGTATTTTGAATCGGCATGTACGTGAGCGGCAGTCTGTGCACAGAAGGCACTCGCTCAGCAATTCAAGTACTTCATGCAAATCAACTGCAGAGATCGCCAAATGTATCCATTGATGGACTTACTGATCAAGACTTTTAATTGTAATGTCGTTAAGAGCTATTTTCGCAATTATCACGTGTGGGCATGACAGAAACTTTGATGGTTCGAAATCCGGTTCGTCCTGACGTTTTGACTAACGTAAAAATTAACCCTTCCTGATGAGAAAAGTAAAATCCGACCTGAATGATACCAGAGATGAATATCACGAACTTGTCAATTAACATTGTTAACAATCGCTCGGGTGCAGTATAGTTCACTTCCGAGTTTTGTGGGGTAGCCTAGTGGTTAAAGCGTTCGCTGTCACGCGGAAGACCCGGCTTCGATTCCCCACATGGGTACAACGCGTGAAGCCCATTTCTTGTGTCCCCGCCGTGATATTGCTAAAAGCGGCGTAGACTAAATTCACTCTGAGAGTTGTGACACTAAATCTGATGCGTTAGGTACAAGAATGCTGTCAGTTTACTTTGTATAAATTCGATGAGCCGATCTATGTATGACTAGGTATACTGTATAATATGTACACCTCCAGTCTGTCTCACAGTCCCTGAACCAACTACAATATTTTCCCTACTGCCTAGCCCTCCCTGCAATGCCAAAGCCCTAAATGAAGCAAGTCTAGATTTCTCAGGTTCCGATTTTCCCATCCAACTGTTCTTCCTTTTCAATTTTTAATGTTGCTATCAAAATTATATATATTCAGAAACCAAGCGTTCGTCTAGTACACCTCGCCTCTCTGTCTCAGTTCCTGGACCACATTATTTTCCCTACTGCCCAGCCCTCCCTGCAATGCTAAAGCCCTAAATGAAGCAAGTCTATTTCCTCAGTTTCAGTATGTCCCATCTGGGACTGGGGTTCCTTTACAACTTAAATAGATTTTTTTTGTTAAGTAATATATATTCAGCTACTAAACGTTAGTCTACTCGTAACAGTGTACTTCCTTGAACATTCAGTATAAGCACACTATCTCCTGGGCATAATATACTCTGCAATACTGTAGGGTTTAATTATAACGATTGGGATTATCCGATGCGTCTCGGTGTACGGTTGGGACACGTCCACGTTAATATGACCTGGTTATGGGCATTGTACTACCATTATCATTAGGAACTCCTGTCAAGTGACATGCGTAATGCACTGTATAATGGCGTCTTGACAATGCCAGCATCTTTAACGAAACTTCGTACCTTCTCAATTCCCTATACACAAGAACGTCATCTAAAATGGCGAAGCTAAATAATAACACGCGCATATTGTTTCGTAGATATTGATAAACGTACTTAATAACATCACCCAAGAAATTTACCGTCGCCATTTCAGTATGGAAATCAGCATGCTGACTAAATACGTAAATTACAACAAAATTGTCAGATTTCACTTCGTTCTTTTATATCATGAAATGGCATATATACACAATGAATCGCGATATCAATGAGCAATGGCGTGCGCATTTTGCATAACAATAAATAATTAACAAAATTGCACAAATGAAAAAGTCAATGAGCACTTTTGATACTGTCTTTCGATGACCCGTATGAGGGATGTCAACATCCACTTGCCACACTGAAGTCAATCTGCTGCCTGTCCAGTTTTGCCCTGATGCAGAGCGAATGTGAACACAATGGTAAAATGAGTTAATGTACGACACTTGATGAGGCGGTGATGATGATAGCACTAGGTGTGAAAGTTTGTACATAATTACACAAGTCAGTTTCACAACATCAGTATTCACTTCTTGGCTGCTGCCTTCTTCTTGGGGCTCTTTGCCTTCTTGGGCTTGGCTGCCTTCTTAGCGGGAGACTTCTTGGCTGCCTTGGGTTTAGCTGCCTTCTTTGCCGCGGGCTTTTTGGCTGCCTTAGGCTTCCTGGATGCCTTCTTGGGAGATTTCTTGGAGACAGCTGCCTTTGGCTTCTTCACTTTCTTAGCTCCGGCAGCCTTGGGTTTGACAGCTTTCTTGGCCTTGGGCTTCTTTGTCTTCTCAGACTTCTCTCCGATTTTAAATGATCCGGAGGCACCGGTTCCCTTGGACTGCTTCAGAGTTCCGTTACTGACACCAGCACGGAGAGCCAGCTTCAGGTGAGTTTTGGCGGCATTAGCGTCAACTTTAAAGTTGGCCAAGATGTACTTTAAGAGAGCCTGGCGAGACGAACCACTACGATCTTTCATACTAGTGATGCCCTTCTTGATCATGTCACAGTATTTAGGGTGACTTGCTGGCTTCTTTGGCTTGGATGCCCTCTTCTTTGCTGGGGCCTTAGCAGGTGATTTTGCAGGTGCGGCGTCGGCCATGGTTGGAGCTTTGCTGTAGAGCGAGTTCTTCTACTGCGTGTTACCGGCGAGAGAGCGAGAATGCTGACAGCGGCGCGTTGACCCCTATATATTGACTTCGCGCGGACGTCGGAGAAGACAACCAACAACTCGCAATGGCTTCGCTAGTGTTATGACTGCTTATACACTAGAGTGTGCTTCCTTCATTCTCTTTGAGAGCTAAAAGCGCTTTATCCTTATGTTGACGCCCATAGGTATTAATATTTACCAGAAGAGATATGAAAATGCTATCCAGCTGTGAAATTTGAACGATATTTACCGCATATTTGCTGAGAAAATTCATTTTATTGAGCGATGTCTGTATACGTGTTTGGCTAGCACTACCAAACATGACGCCTTTTTTAGAAAACTCCATGTCCTCAGCACTGCAATTGTTATGTTGGTCCATTATTCAATAATTAATCTCTTGGTGAAAACGATCATATACTTCATTTGTTGAAAAATTATCTCATGATCGATGTAAACTTTCAAAGCAACAAACACAAGTTGTCATTTTCGGCCGCCATTTTTCTTCACATCGGACGCAAATAACTCCACTAAATACCCAATTTCACCTTAATGTACGTAAAATCATTTCGTTTAATTTCATATATACATTTAGTATCACCAAGGGAAATAGTATATACCAATTCATAATACTTTAAAACTCAGAAACCGGTGTATCCCTTAAAAAATTACGCGTCGTTCACAGGGACACATAATTGGGGGGTTGACTACAGACGCCAAAATTTATAACGTGCAAAAGGACATTTTTGGATAATATCATTAATTACACATCTTGTAAATATATTAGACATGCAACAGGTTATGTTGTCACACGTGTGTGAACTAATTTTCTCAAAACCCACGGAACTTCCTGCATAAAGTGTGTGGAAAATTTCCACTCGCCCTGTATTACATTTGCTCGTCCATAGATTTGTTGATACAAATATTTAGTATATATTGAGTCTATGTGTAGTTTTACGTTCATGTAGATGTAAACATCAAATTAGAATTGATTTTGTTCTGGGGATGATTCCACGTTTTGAATATCATATAATATATTATTTTGTTGACCAGATGCAACGTTTCACCAAGCTCGACCTAAGTTCCCACCTCTACAACCCGTCCAGCATTGGGACGTGGCAAAATGTCAAAAACCTGACTGGTTATGCCAAACAAAACTTGAAAAAGACACTTTTAGTATGACAGAACACTTGATTCTCAGACAACCCTGTTTTACTGTGCACGCTGTTGATGTATTCTCTCAGGTCGTTACGATTTGATGACGTCATCTCTTCACTACACAGCCATGTCAGGTAAAACAACATGTGATCTTTCAAAGTCTAATATGAATGTTTCACACAAAGTATGATAGTTATAATTTAATCAGTTTTGTACGAATTATTTCATTTGTGTATCAACTATTATGACAAACGGCTGCACAATGCTTGTATTCTAATACAGGTATGTAATGCAAGATCGCATGTAGTCTCGTATATGTACGTTCTCTGGTAATCATGTTGGTCCCGGCAAAATGAGATTCTACTTAAGCGGCATATGTTTCCAGCACCAGTAGAGAAAAACACACTCATCTCGTGCGACGTCAGGATGGTGTGATCATGGTTATTTACAGTACTCGCGATGTTACTAATTTAATTTGTGAAATGTGGACTCTAGACAGACTCCATAGTGGTCACGCTACATGGAGACCGCTCGTTCATGCAAATCTATATTGTTACATGTAATCCAATCCTGAAAGAAATTAATAGTAGTAGTAGTAGTAGTAGTAGTAGTAGTAGTAGTAGTAATAATAATAATGATAATAATATTTGATATTTTCACATAAAAACAATTCAAATCACCAGTTCCTGTAGTAGTTTCCCGCCACACAACCCAGGCAGGTATATAAGTACGTAAACCCGTTTTCCTGCTTGTGTTGAAATGTTTTCTAGTTTCATCCATTCCTCCAGTTAAGCCTTTATTTAGATTCCATCACATTATCCCACAAGGAAACAAATACAATTCACGAAAATGTTAATATATTTATGTAAAGTAAAGTTAAACAGTAAATGAAAGAAATTAGTATAATGTGTTTTCCGGGTTCTGTATTCAATCTTGACATTATATTGATATCACAGATGGACAAACACCCAGTTATACATTGTCGCCACAATACAACCTCACATTGACTGAGTATAGATACAACATATCGAGAATATGAACCTGAATAAGCTTACAGTATGCCATGAAGCGAGTTGGGCAACTCAGAACCTGTGGAAAATGTACGTATGCTGAGAGAAAGATTATGAACTACTTATTGTCATATACGCATGTAAATGGAATTAAAGGGTCGTCAACTACTGAATTCGCTCATTGAGAAAGTGTCATCCGCAATCTTCCACGTCTCTACCTGTCCAAGGACGATCTCACTTTAAACAAGCTAAACGCCGGTCATGGAGGAAATATGTGTCCAAAATCAACTCCCGCACACCCATGTCCAAGGTGTGGAACATGATTCAAAAGATAAAGGGCAAAGGATCCAAATCTGGTGTTCGCCATCTCAAAGATGATGACTCCCTTTTAACCAATAAAGTTGAAATTGCAAACAAACTTTGCGAAACTTTGGCAAACCACTCCTTCTCGTCAAACTATAACCCCAAGTTCCAGAAATACCAAACCCAACAAGAAAAGAAATCAGTCAATTTTAACTCTGATAATGGTGAGGATTACAATGAAATGTTTCTCTCCATGAACTACGTAATGCCCTGGGGCAGGCTCACGACACTGCGGCAGGAGCTGATGATATCCATTATCAGCTTCTCAAACACCTTCCTGATTCAAGTTTGGAAACTCTACTCAATACATTTGATGACATTTGGACAACCGGCAACTTTCCTCCTTCGTGGCACAACGCCATTATCATCCGTATACCAAAACCTGGCCGGGATCATACTGATCCCTCAAACTACCGTCCTATATCACTAACTAGCTGTGTTTGTAAAACCATGGAACAATCGATTAATCTGGTACCTGGAGACCAATAACCTCCTTAGTGATCTCCAATGTGGTTTCCGAAAAAACCGAAGTACCATTGACCATCTGGTGCGTCTGGAATCTTTTATGAAACATTCCATTGTCAACAAACATACTGTATCTATCTTTTTCGATTTAGAAACAGCACACGATACAACATGGAAACATGGTATCTTAAAAGATTTACATGAATTTGGACTGAGGGGCAGTTTACCTCAGTTCATATCTCAGTTTTTAAACAACAGACAATTTCAAGTACGGGTAGGTTCCACATTGTCTGATTATTTCCACCAAGATCAGGGCGTCCCACAAGGCAGCATCCTGTCTGTCACACTGTTTAGCATCAACATTAACACCCTCACTAACGTCTTGAACAGTTGTGTTGATGGGTCCCTTTTCGTGGACGATTTCAATATTTCATGTCGTGGTAAGAACATGCACGCAATAGAAAGGCAGCTACAACTCTGCCTTAACAAAATCCAAAAATGGGCCAGTGAAAATGGCTTTAAGTTTTCAAAATCCAAAACAAATTGTATTCACTTTTGTCGTAAATACAAACCACACAAGGATCCAGACCTATCTTTAGATGGTACTCCCATCAAGGTAGTATAAGAGGCCAAATGCCTGGGACTCATATTCGACCGTCACCTGACATTCTTACCACACATAAAATATTTGAAAACCAAGTGCTTGAAGGCTCTGGACTTACTAAAAGTCGTTTCAAATACAGAGTTGGGAGGGGATCAGACTACCCACCTTCACTTGTACATATCTTTGGTTCGCTCTAAACTAGACTACGGCTCCACTGTTTATTGTGGAGCCTGCAAAAGCAATTTAGAAAAATTAGATTCTATCCACCACCAAGGACTGAGGCTCTGCCTGGGAGCTTTTAGGAACTCTCCGGTAGACAGTCTATATGCAGATACTAACGAACCTTCCCTTGAACAACGCCGCATTAAACTTTCACTGCAATATATCACTGAATTACGTTCAAATCAGTCCAATCCAGCATACAATTGTGTTTTCAACCCTCTCTATGAAAACCTGTTTCCCAAACTGCCAAGCCTGGTTCCACCACTTGGAATCAGAATTCAACCACACATATCTGCAGCTAAAATTGATCTCAATATCATAGCACCTTACCGACTCCTGTCTTCACCACCCTGGCAGATGGTGAAACCACAGGTCGATCTTACCCTAACTAAACTCAAAAAAGTCTGAAACGAATCCTTTGGCGTTCCAGCAGGAATACAACCAGTTACGTTCCAAGTATGACACCCATAGATCCATTTTCACAGACGGATCCAAGGAAGAGGGCCAAGTTGCCAGTGCTACAGTCATTGGATCCAAGACTGTCTCCTCTAGGATTCCCGACAACAGTTCCATTTTCACTGCCGGGGCCAAAGCTATCTTCTCAGCATTGACCTACATTAAACAGCAGTATCACTTCAAAAACTTCATCGTTTTTACAGATTCATTATCTTGCCTTCAAGCACTTCAAAATATAACTTCAAGTCACCCAATCATTCTGGAAATTTTAGAACTTTACAACGACCTTTCTACTGGCCAATGTGACATCGTCCTCTGCTGGTTGCCGGGTCACGTCGGCATAGCAGGTAACACAAAAGCCCTTATCTCCACTGCTGATCCCATACAGTGATTTCAAACCCACTATCAAAAGCTATACACGGGACCTCATGAAAAAAAGGTGGGACACTCAAGTAGGAAGAAATAAACTGTATGAAATGAAGCCAACAATTGGTTATACCTACTTGGGTTGTCAGTCAAGACGCGATGAGGTAATTTTACGACGATGTCGTATTGGCCACAGTCGGTTTACACATGACTATCTGCTGAAGACGGATGGGGATGAACCCCCCATGTGTGTCTCCTTGCGATGAGGTTTTCACCGTCAAGCATATTCTGCTTGACTGTGTGGACCTGTCGTCTGCAAGGGACTCACATTATGATGCAACAAATCTGAAAGAAAGATTTGTTCTCCCGTGTGAGCGCT